ATATTATACGGCCTAAAACCCTTTGTGAGATTCTCCACCATTATTGATGTTCAGACAAATATTCTCACTTATTCTTGCATAGAAAAAAACAAAAAAAAACCTTTGAAACATTAAATTATCATTATGCATAATAAACATGCTTAAGCATATGATAAACATAAAACTAAGAAAAACTTCATTTCCGGTGACCGGAGGACGCCATGAGAATCGCAACGGCCGCGACAAACATGACTAACATGCTAACCAGAAGCACATAAGTTCTCTTCGACGATCTCCGATACTCTCCAAACAAGATTATGCCCCAAAATGTGCTCACAAGAGGAAGTGCCTAAACCAAAAACAGAGCTCATATACTCAAAACCAATATGCAAATTTGAGATCAATCGAAATCGAGAGATAAAAACTAACTTGGACAGAGTCTGCGGCCGCGTATCCAGCAGCTTGACCTCCCATAAACTGCAAACCGTTACCAAACCCACACAAGAAGCCAGCAAAAACAGACCAACCTCTACCTTTAGAGTCATTTACATACTTCTTAAGAGATGATCTCGCTAATCCCGCCATAGGCCGGTAAAGAAAGATGAGGTTTAGAATCAAAGCGATGAGAAACCCCGCGATCGAGAAGTAGAAAAAGGCGGTATAGACAACGAGCTTAGGTACGCCTTTTGGCAATGTGCTCCATTGATCATTTGTCGCCAAATTGAATGCAGGGGAGAACAAAGAGAGGCAGATTCCGGCAAAGAGCGTTATGAATAGTCCGATCATTATGCTCTTCCCAAAGACCTGCGAATGAGGAGGTTTTAAACACCGAGTAGTAATATACTCTCCTTTTGCTATGTAATCTTGCTTAAAAAACTTTCGAACTTTGTGAGTTCGGTGTTTCGGGTGTTTTTCTCTTTGGTCATTGTAATAGAACCTTGATTGCCCTTTTGTTCTCTAGCTCTACAAAGAACCCTGCGGTCCCTGCTTTCGCCTTTCCCGTTGGTACTTTCTCTTGAGACTCAACATCAGTTTTCTCTGTTAATCGTAACAACAAAATATAAGAAAAGATCCAAACTTTATCAACATTCCACCAAAAGATCCAATTTTGACTAAAAGTTTCTTAAATCTTATAAACCAAATACAATATTGTCTTTACCTTTTTCAGAGTTGTCTTCACCTTTTTTAATGGAAGAATAGAAATCTCTGAGAAAGATCAGAATTTTGTCAAAAACAGAACACGTTTTGAAAACATGAAGTAGTAATGGCAAAAGAAAAGAGCAACATCGTACTGTGTCCCGGCTTTATACTCGCTAGGTAATGACTCGAGTTTCGCTTTGACATCAGCCGCATTTGAAGAGTGAACCGCAGCGCCGAGGAAAACAGCGACCAAGAAACAACCTACTCCGGGGAAAAGGATCTCGGCTTTGTTAATCTTGTCGTCCAAGAAATAATTCAAAGTCGTACCTATAAAACTCACCGTGACACACAAGAAACCATAACAACATTAAGTGATTATTTAACCTTGTTTGCGTTTCTTTTAGTGTAATATATTCTCAAATGAGCCATACCAATGACTACGGTAATGCTAGCGGTTATAACTACGGTGACTGATAAACCAACAAACGCAAACGCATATTGAGTCGCTAAATTCCCGACGCTAAGTAGCACGCCGCCTGCGACTGCAAGCAATACCGACGGCCAATTATCCTGTAAATTTCTCGGATTAACAGTCAAATTC